TTCTGCTTTGAGAGCACCCCCACCTATTTATTTTATTACATTGTATTTATTAAATTGGATTTTTAAACTGCCCTCCCCTGTAAAATAGGGCTCAGGGAGGTATACATCAAAGTCCAACAGGGCTTTTTTTTGTAGAAAAAGCCCAGCAGGAACTCATTAGCATAATAGGCCACACCCAAAAGCAGGGATCATTAGCATATTAGGCCACACCCTGACAGCACAGCTCATTAGCCTATTAGGCCACACACCATGCCTTCCCTTGGCTTGTCTGGGTGCCCCGTGGCTGCAGGAATCACGGGCAAGCCAGCCCTTGGACAGGTCAGGGAAGGCGCAGGGAGGCATTTAAATGCTTCCCCAATCCTTTCAGGCCCCCCCAGCCTGCCTCGGAGTGGCCAGGGGGGGTCGCTCTCCAGGCCTTCCCTCTGTAGCCACACATGCAGAGGTTTTGGCTGTAGTGGACATGGCCAACTCTGAAGCCAGCCGGAACTCCGTTCCTGTGTGTTCCTACCCAAAAATAGCCCTGAATTACAAAGTTCACAGTTTGTAAAAATCAAATTTACATTTACAGTTTATACACATTAGATGGCGATGAAACTGCGAAGAATATGCCACCATCTTGTAGTGGGAGGCAGGGAGAGAGACAGGAGTGCCAGCTAGATTGAAAGACCTATCGCTGTCCTCAACCAAACGCCTGGCAGAACATCTCTTTCTTACGTGCCCTATGGAACTGCATTCAGTCCCGCAGGGCATGGATGTTATTCAGCAGAGATTTCCACCAGGTTGTTTCTAGGGCATAAAACGCCCTGGCTCTGGTTGAGGATATCTCTTGGGCCGGGGACCACCAGAAAGTCCTTATCAAATGAGGGAAAGTTACTTTCAGCCCCCACCAACTAAATGCATACAACAAATATTATGCCTTTCTTTCACAACAGAAAGGCAGCTGCAAGACTATTTGGTTAGTGTGGAAGCAAACTAGCATCAAGTCAAATACTTAACTTGAATCCAACTGTGGATCAAGAGGCCTGTCTGAAATCAGAGGTGAATGGTTTCCACCGCAGGCTTTTTAAACAGGGGGCCAGTGGCACTTTTAAAATTAATAGAATTCACAAATAGAGGACCTGCAAGGACTTTCAGTGGGCATTTAATTTTCTTATCCCTCACTATTTTTTCTTTCCTTTCCCCGAAATCCCCATAGCCTTTCACCTTTTCCTGTTTCCTTCTCTCTTTCTCACTCACCAGCCAACCTACATTTATCTGCCTTGTCTTCAGTTTTCCCTCCTTCCCTTCCTCTGGCAGCCTTTACTATGGCCCAATTGCATAGTAGGGAATCCACAAGTACTTGTGGGGTGCACCTCATTTTCCCCTGTATTCCTTTCCCTTCGCTATTTCTTCTTTTCCTCCTCACCACCCCATATCCTCACCTTTCCCTGCTTCTCACCCACCCACCTACCTTTTATCTGTCCCCCACCTTCAGCTACATTTATTATTTTATTTATACCCCACTTTCTCTACAATGCAGACTCAAAGCAGCTTACATCATTCTATTCCCCTCCATTTTAACCTCACAACAACCCTGAGAGGTAAGTTAGGCTGAGAACACAGAACTGGCCCAGGGTCACCCAGTGAGCTTCTTTGGCAGAGTGACGTCCCAGATCCTAGTCTGAAACTCTTCTTATCCACTACCCCACACTGGGTTTCATGTGGTGACAGCTATTGAACAGGAGCAAGCAGCCGGGCCTGCATGAGTCATGCATGTTGCACAGTGGCACTACCAGGCTCGTCCTGGATGAGTTCTTCTTCAAAGGCCAAAATGGCTCTGGAAGGAGCCCTTCACCTGCCTTTTACTGACAGAAAAGGAAGCCTTGAAGGCTGCTCAGTTGCCTAGCTACAGCCATTGAGGGCATTTGTTTCTTGCAGTTACAGGCACTGCTTATATTATCTGAGGAGTTAAAAAAAACACCTTTAAAAAGATTTCAAATGTTTCTATAAACCTGTGGTGTTTTTCAGGTCTATAAAAAGATCTGTCTTGTAGATGACCAGTGGTTGAACATTTGGGACTCTCCAGCTTGCAAATCAAATATTTTTTCAATCAGACTGCAATTTTTTAAGACACACACGCGATGGTACCTCTCGCCAAAAAGATTGCATCATATGCACTCTAACTATAGTCCTCTTTGCTGGAAAGGGTGTGGAGAACAAAGTGACTTTTTACATTGCTGGTGGTCATGCCCCAAGATTCAATCTTTCTGGGAAGACATTGTGGAAGAAATATTCCAGATCACGTCACAGAGGTTGCCTATGGACCCCATGATACTTCTCCTTCAATCGGTGGATGATACACATTCTCAGATAGAAATCTCTAATCTTACTTCGACGCTCCTGGCCACGGCTAGATTATCTATCGCTTCCAAGTGGAAAGCTTCAGAACTGCCAAATATCTCTCAATGGAGAGAAAAAATCTGGGAGCACTTTATCATGGACCGTATTGCTCAATCGGTAGCTGATAAAACATACAATTCCACCACTTCACATGCTAAATTTGTTAGTACATGGTTCAACTTTTTTCAATACATGACTAAAAAAGAGCTTCTTCCATCCAATCCAGCATACACTGATTGGCTTCACTTCGCGTGATCCGATTTACGCTTAATTACGGTTAATTTTAAGATTCATTAGCCTTTTCTGGGATAATGTGCAATCGGAAACTAATTCTTGTTGAAAATTCATTATAACATGGTATGGTTACATAGTTTGTATTTTGACAAAACGGAAAATTGGTTGTAATATTTGTTATCTATCAAGTTTTTGCTTAATAAAAAATTTTACAAAAAAAAAAACAAAAAAAAAAGATCTGTCTTGTCTGTTCATGCCTCCAATCTCTGGATTTAAGTGTCCATGGGTCACGTTGAGAATTAGATATATTGATTCCAGAATAAGTTTGTATGAGTTAGAGCTCACTTCATCAGATACAATGTCACTGAACTCCTGTTTAATTTTGCCGCAACAGATTAATATGACTACCCCTCTGGAATTATCATGAAGTCATCTTAGTCCTAGTTATCAACGGCAAATGGATTTAGTTTTTTTCTCAGCATATGAGTACCATATAAGCAGGGTTGTGTGTGTATCCTTGTGATCACACCACTTAAGTGGCTGATGAAAAATGCAATCTCAATATTTACGTTTCTTAAAAGAATACTGCAGACACTTGGCAATGTCCCTAATGAAATGCCAGTAGATCAAAACTAAGGAATAGGGACCGAGGGAGACTTCCAGTATCCAACTGATGGGAGTTTGAGCATTTTACCCAAGCATTTTCTCTTAGCTATGAGAAACAGAGATAGCTATGTGGTGCATTCATTTGAACAGCACAACATGTGACAAAATGCACTGTGGACATTCAATTTGCATATCCCCAGGGGTCATTTCCTGCAGGAGCGCACAGGAATGGAGCTCTGGCAGTAAAGAGCCCAGGGGGCGGGCACATGCAACAAGCCCCACCCCCTGCTCCCAGCAGCCTTCAGTCAGAGCTAGAAGCAGACAGGTAAGTTGCAGAGGGCCCCCCAGCCCCCCGGTCCTAAACAGTCCAGTGGCACCTTTAAGACCAAGTTTTATTCAGGTACAAACTCTCCCTCCTCTGCGAGGACAGATCTGCACATCCCCCCCCCCCAACAGCTAGCAATCTAAAACAGTCCAGTGGAGCCTGAGCGGTGGCTGTTACTTTCTGACACACTTCCGGTGATGTCAGGGTTTGTGGCATATGCAAATAAGTTATGCTAATGAGCTCCTGCACCTCTTTTTCTACTAAATGACCCCTGCATATCCCTACAATGAACTAATCTGCAGTACTCCTCAGTACTGGAGAAAGAGATGATGCAATGAATCCACACCAGCATAAGAGGAGGAGATTGGATTTATACCTTGCCCTTCACTTGGGGTCTCAGAGCAGCTTACAAACTCTTTTCCCTTCCCCTCCCCACAACAGACATCCTGTGAAGTAGGTGGGCCTGAGAGAGCTCTGAGAGAACTGTCCTTGAGAGAACAGCTCTGAGAGAACTATGGCTTGCCCAAGGTCATCCAGCAGCTGCAAGTGGAGGAGTGGGGAATCAAACCCGGTTCTCCCAGATTAGAGTCCACACTTAACCACTACACCAAACTGGCTCTCACCAAACCACTATACCAAACTTGTCCTAGGTAGCTCAAGAAAGTTCAATAGGAAAGTGTAGTATTTTCCCACCCAACCTCTTCTTCTGACCTGTGTTCCAACTTGTCATGCTGAGTTAAGACAGAATGCTTTTATAGAATAGTATACAGAATACTGTATACATGTACATGTGTGCTCAAGGCCTGATTTGTTGTTATATTTTTTGGCAGAGCAGAATGCTCATGAGCCCACTGGGAAAGGTATGCACCCTTTCCTCTATAGCAAATGGGTTGACTCGCTTGCCTCATTCAATGGTATTTGCTCATCTATAAGCACCTATTCCACAACACACCTGCTCTGTGATTGTGTCTTGAATTATATAGTGGTTTGTGAGAAACAAGTTTGAGAGCAGATGGCCCATGTTTCTGAAGCATCATCTCACATTATTTGGTATTTGTAATAAGCATTACAAGGGTAGCAACATGAACAACCAGGTCCCAATTTTATCATGAAAGAACATATAAAGAACATGCTAACAGAATCTTTGGGCAATAGCACCCTGAAAGGCACTTCCCTGAAAGCAAAACACCTTCCTTCTAATGTTCCCAGCATGATCTAGTAGCAACTAAGCAACACCCACCAACGCTTTTATGGCTCACCACTAGCTCTGACTTGGCAGCTTGGAATCAGCAATATAAAATACCAGCTATTAAGGTTAATCTTTTTACCAGTAAGAGGAAATTACGTTCCTAAGAGGTTTGCAGGATAACTTCCCATCGCAATTTTTCTAACCAATAAATAAAGCTTTGGTAACCCTCTTAAATACAACTGTTCATCACTGTACAATTGTGTTGTTTTTTTTTAATGATCCTTAATTATGAACTAACAGGCACTGAGTTATGGTCAAGAATAATTGCTGTGATGGAAGAAAGCCAAGATGTAACAGGCAGGGAACAGGGAAGCCCCTCCATTTATAGAGGAAGGACAGACAGCATTTATAGAAATATTGTCCAAGTTTTTACTGCAAACCAATGGGTTTGGTCACAAAAATGGTACATATTATAACCATGTTAATTACATTACAATGGTGATATACATTATAAGCCTTTTTTTCCTTTTAAATATACATCTAGCATTGCAACCAACTGTACAGGTCTTTCTCTTTTTACAATACTTACAATCAGGAATGCAAACATAAAAACCCCACAAACCATAAATAATGCCCAGTTTTACAGACAAGTGAAAAAAATGAAATAACAGCTCTGGCATTTTGGTCCATAAAACCCTTTCTAAAAATAGAAGTATTTATATATTTTCCCATAGCAGCAATGCTTTCTTCAAGCATCTTGGATACATTGTCAAAGCCCATCTTGGTAGTTTTCATTATTAACTGTATAGTTTTTACATTAAAAAAATCATTATCTACACTTATTAATTAATCATCTTCCAAATATGGAAGGTAACAAACAATGCCCCACATTGTAGTGTCCTGCGAGTGTCACACTTGACGCTTTTGAACTAAGTCCATCAGCAAATTGCGCATACCACACTCATACCATTGTCCACATAGCAAACCCACGCATACACGCATGCGACTGAAGAATCACTCTTGTGAAAGGAAAAGCGTTGGAGCTCACAAGATCTCATCAGAAAAAAGGCACATTTCGTAAAATCCTTATCACATCCAGAAAGAACTTCAAGCAAGGCTTTTCAGAACATTTTCTTAAAAAAAACAACACCACAGCATGTTGTTCTTATGCTTACAATCTCTGGCAGTCTATGGCAGCAGTTGCTTTTCCTTCCTCCTTCAACCTCCAGAAGAGATAGCACCAATTTGGTGAGTGGGAAGAACCGGAACTGAAATGTTTGCAAGTTTATTTAAAGGAGTTAGGTGTGCTCTTCCAAACGACAGCAACAATAATGAAAACAAAACAAAAACAAAAAAGCTTCCAGCAAACAGTATTGTTGAAATTAAGGCTGCAAAGCTGCCACAGTGGGAAGATGTGCAAAATTTTCCTCTTTCAAGATGAGTGGACAACTGGCAGCTTAACCAGAAGGCCAACAGAAGGGTCATAATTAAAAAGTAAAAATCATAAGAGATTCACAAGAAAGAATCCATGGGGGGTGCATAGGAGAACCCCAGAAAAGCCTCCGCAGCCTCCTTAACGCTGGCAGTGATGAGTATGCTATCTGGCGACTGGCCAATGGAGTTGGGGACAGGTTCCTCCGTAAACTCAGGGTCAAAGTGTCGCAGGTCATTGGGGCCGCTCTGTAAGAAGACAAGGAGAGAATGATCAGTCCTGTTCTTGACTGTAAAAGGGGGGGGGAGAAAACCGGGGTGGGGGTAGGAAACAACCCTTGGGAACCTTCTTTTACACATCTAGTCATGTCCAGCTTAAAAATGAAAGTTCATGTTTCTTTTCACTGTGCAACTCTAGCCCCAGGTTCATACAAGATCAAGTTCCTAGCACTCTACATACTGATGGCATGTTGTGGTAATCTGTGCAGCATCATCCCCCCAGTCCATTTTAGAGTGCATATGGTATTTGTTCATTTTGGGCCCCTGGTGGGATTCAATGGGGGTGGGCCGAGGTCAACTTGATCTCAGTTTTGGACTTCAAATAAAGTAAGCCCAACTGAATTCAAAGAACAAGGGCTCATTCCGCAAATCAGGGCTCTTAGTGCCCCCCCCCCCGACACGGACTCTCCTTTGCTGGGAAGTCAAATGTAGGAAGGACAATGGTGTTGCCCTGAGCTTGAAAAACACAACTAGCTATAAAAGAAAGCTGCATTTGGGGCAAAGTGAGTTTCTAGCCTGCATGATTCTCCCCATGAACAAGAGAAATATGCATTCTGATAGCGAACAAATATTTGATTGCTTATTCAGGATCAGTCTGATTATACATATACACTACAAAGTGTACAGTTGAGTATTTTTATCTTCAGGCTCGGACACTAAAATATAAATAGAACTTCAAACATCCTATAATTAGCAGCAAAACTTACCACATTGGGGTTAAAAGGGGGTGTAATCTTCTTATTAATGAGATCATCCCAGTTAATTGGGGAGAAGAAGACATGATTCTTAATCTCCATCTGTTGAGGAAACGGAAATTAAATCAATTCAGACAAGAGTAATTGAAGACGACTGGCATAGTCTAGCCTTTTTCCTAACCCCCTCCCCCCCAAACTCCCAAGGTTAATGCTTACAAAATCTTCCTTGGCTCCCAGCCTCCTGGTTCTGTCCTTTTGCAAAAGACCTTCCAAAAGGTGTCGAGCAGAGTTGGTGATATTTGGCTTCAGCTGCAGAGGTTTGTTCAAGATGTTGTCATACATTTCTGCAGTGTTTCTACTATAGAATGGAGGCTGTAAAGAGGAGAGGGAAAGGTAAAGAAATATTAAATACCTAATACTAACTGTCACATTACTGTACCCTTCCCCTAAGGAGCCAGAACAGAAAACTTGGGTTTATCATTTATCCTCATAATGACCCTGTTAAACAGGTTAGGTTGTGATAGACTGACTTGCCCAATTTCACCTTGTGAATTTCATGATGGAGTGGGAATTTGAACAAGTCCTAGTCCAACACCACTACATCACACCAGCTCTCAAATGCATGCTTTGCATTTACAATATGCTGGTGTGTGTGTGTTTCCCAATGTTCTTGATACACACATGAAAGGGCCACAGTGATAAGGCACCCATAACAACATCCCAATCATTCACTTTTTGCACTGAATTTGTTTTTTCTCAAGCCACAAAGATTTCCAGTAGGATTTCCTGGACATGAGTAACACAAACATTTTGGATGTGTTGAAATCAACAGCAAATCAACAGCAAATCTCCAATCCAGCTTCAGCAGTTCCACCTGTCATGGTGGGTTACTACAGAGACAGACTCTGCTGGCATGCACATATAATCTGTATAAACTCACCAGTCCATAAAGCATCTCGAACAAAACTGCTCCAAGGCACCACCAATCAACAGTTCGGTCATAGGGTTGCTTGTGAAGGACTTCAGGGGCAAGGTACTATTGCAAAGCAAAAAAGTAATGGAAGCATTAGACAAAATAGGATGCCACAAAAAGACCAAGCCTCAGTCTCCAACCCCTACACTTTAAATGCTCCCCATGGAAGAACCTGCAAAGATAGACCAAGACCCAGGCCAGAAGCCTTGAGAAAACACTTGGTCTACAGCTTGTTTTGACAGCAGTTCCCTGTCACTTGTTGCACTCAAAGAATCTGCATCTGAAGGATCTTTTATTGTCATCATGGCTCATAAATCAAAATTCACCTAAACAGTATAGACTGTCCCTCAGCCTCATCTGGGAAATTACTTCTCTTCTCACACACTCTGAGCACATACATCATTGTCACTTCAACAAGACAAACTCAAGACTTACCTCAGGCGTGCCACAAAATGTGGAAGTTGTCCCATTGTGCTCTATGTTCTCTTTGCAGAGGCCAAAGTCGGTCAGGACTATGTGGCCCTGAGAATCAAGTAAAATGTTCTCTGGCTTCAAGTCCCTGCAGCAACAGAATAAAAGAAAAAGTGTTGGCCACGCAGTCTTAACTTTTTATGCTTTTATTTTAAATAATGGGCTTCTATACTGTTTTGTAAGGTACAACTTGTTACTTTGATGGTTTAGTCCTCAAAACTACCTACCAGTGGAATTATTTCTATGTACAGAAGTGGGATTCCTCTGCTGGTTCTTGTCCGTAACTCAGAAGAGAAAGCCTTTAAAATCCTGTGCTGCACTGATCCCAGCACCCACTGCTGGCATCTGGGCAGTCCAACCCGCAGGGTTCTAATCTAGACCACTTGTAAATCAGACTTCTCTGTTGCTTTCTACAGAAATTATGCTTATCTGTAACCATGTGCTTCGCTTACCGATAAACAATATTTAGAGAATGCAAGTAACCCAGTGCACTGGCTATTTCAGCAGCATAAAAACGAGCTCTTGGTTCTAGGAAGCAACGTTCCCTCTGGAGATGATAAAACAACTGCAAGAGACAAGGGAGGGGGAGCGACACACTGTTACCAATGCCAAAAACCTTTTAACAATGCTTTAATTAAACTCATCATATATGGCTAAAGAGAACAATTGCAGGAAATAGCCTAGTAAAGCCTCTGGCCACTTCCTGCTATTCGATACTGGCAGGCAAGAGACACCAAATCTAGTAACTCCACCCCAGAAATCTCTTTCAAACGACATACAAAGAAACACCGCAGGACTGCTTGGTACACATAGCAAACCAATCTTTAGGGCAAAGGGGAGTTGTAAAATGAATAATTTTTGGATCTCCCCCCCCCCCCATTCTGTGTGCTTTTTGCTTACCTCACCACCATTGATGTAGTCTAGCACAAAGTACAGTTTGTCAGCTGTCTGGAAAGAAAAGTGGAGTCCTACTAGGAAAGGGTGCTTCACATTCTTTAGTAAGACGTTGCGTTCTGACATTATGTGCTTCTCCTGAAAGCAAGGATATGGAGGGAAAAAAATACTTATTAGTATTCAACAACACAACAGCCGGTCTGTGGTCATTACACTCTTGTTTGGGGTATCAGTGCAGGCAGGACACCCCAGTGCTCACCTCCTTCTTTTTCAGGATTGCTTTCTTCTGGAGTACTTTCACTGCATAGAATTGCTCTTCTGCCTTGTGCCTTGCCAGAAGGACCTGAAAGAGACCACATTATTAATCGCTTAGGAGTGCTCCTGCAAGTGACCTTGGTCACAGAAACAGGGGGCCTCTTCTTAAGCAAGGCTGCAAGTCCCAGGCACAACCAGGTAGGCTGGCAGTGCGAGAATCTGTATCCACATAAGGGGTGGAGAACAAAGGGCTGGCTGACAGAGCTTTCAAATTCCTTTGAGCCTTGTGCTTCAAAAACACTGGTTCCATAAAATAGGGGTTTAAAAAAAAAAAAAAAAACCCCTCACTTTCAGAAGGCACCCATCCCAGCTCTTTCAAAGAACCACCATCAGACAAGATCTATTTTCCTAAAGAACCCACCCAGTTATCAAACACTCAGCCATAGACCTTACAGCAATAATGAAATGAACCACATGAAAATAAAGACTTACCTTCCCAAAACTGCCTTTTCCAATAACTTTTAGAAAATGGAAATCTGATGGTTTAGCATGAGGGTTAGATGAAGGGCCAAGATTGATTTGCTGTGATGGACTGGGCTGCAATTAATAAAGAAAAGAAAAGAAAGAAACCATTATTTGCAAAGAAATATGTGGATGCAGATAATTAAAAAAATTAAAACCAAGTTCTAAATATTATTACTTTCTCTACAAGGAACACAAGGGATTGAATTACAATCGCTTATGTACTCATGTCATAAGGGCAAGGACAAGATTTCCAAGTTGGCAAAGGAAGGTTTAGCCAAAACATTTCTTCTGCACAATACTTTGTATTTTTTTCTAAAGTGCTCCTTTCCTAGTTATAACATTGCAATGTATTCCAAATGAAGAAGCATACATATCAGATGAGGGCAGAGAAAAGCTGTTTTAAAACCTGTTTCTATTTCTGACACAGTAAAGTCTTCTCTGGAAAAAAGACCGCACACAATAAAAGCTACTTACTGGAGGTGAAGGATTGGCATTCATAAGTTCAGGCTCTTGAGGCTGGGAGATTTTCAAAATAGATTGAACTTCAGGGCTGCAGAGATTAGACAGGACATTATTATTAGCCCAACAGCAGAACAGTATCTTGCCACTAGGGGACACGCTAACATTCTGTTCGAGAGAGTTCCAGGTTGGCAGTCTTCTGAAACAGTTTATTAGGTTTCAGGGCTAAGATGAAACAGGAGACAGGAACAAACCCTTCTCAGCAAGCACTTGGGTTTCCTCTGTAATTAAAGGTCAGGTGCAAGAGGATGGTCTTGGGGATAAGGAAATCTAGATTTGTCTCTATTCCCCCATGTATTGGGCACTAAACACAGAAACTGTGGTTCATGCAATTTTTCTAGAATGCAGGAATTTTTTTAAAAAAGTAAATTAACCTCAAAACATTCCATTTCGATAGCTCCTGTTTTAAAGCCAAAATCTCAGAAACTCTATATGTTCATTAGAACTGTCAGATTTCAACACAACTAAAGCTGCAGTTCCAAGCACAGGGCATAAATCAACAAGGCTTACTTCTGAATTGGATGTTTTAAGATCATGCTGCAAATAATTTCTAACCCCCAGCCCCACAAAAGTCACATTTTAGACACCCCTCTATCAGCCGGAATGAATCCTATATGAATCCCCCCCCACACACACACACACTGCATGGTTTCAGAAATAACTGACGTTCACTTTCGGCAGGCTGCCTGCATTATTGCAATGATACTTACTGCTTGCATGCATAGGAGTTGGTGGCGATTTTTTGAATGAAGTCATTCAGCCCCATTCTCCTCTGTTTCATGAAAGCTACAAATTAAAAAAAAAAAAAAACTATTAATACAGACGAATCCCGCTATCTCTTGCGCTGATGTCTTTTCTTCGACTCCCTTCACAATCCAACCTCTTTCTCCACGCCAGAAAACCCCTGGGCCAGGGGAACCCCAAAAAGAGCTGCTTCCCCCCCCCCTCCAGCCAATTCTCCCGGAGAGGCGTGCGGCTGTCCCTTCCCCAGCTCTTCCCCCCCCGCCGCACTCACCGATGAGTATGGCCACCATGCCCCTCATCTTTGAATAGGTGAGCGTGGATCCCGAAGCTTCAGTTTTGACTGTCATTGCTGAGCTGGGCAGTGCGTCAGCCGGCAGAAATAATCCAAGCTGGCCAAATGAAGGACGGAGGCAATCAGCACAGCCAGTCGGGTTAGTTCGTTAGGCAGCTCAGCACGGGGCGGAAGGAAGGAAGGAGCGGCGACACACAGACACTAGAACACATCCACTAGCTATCTCGCTCGCCAGAGGACTTTATATGCCAGCCTCGCCGGAGGGGGGTGGTTGAGGAGGAAGAATGGGAGGAGTCAAGGGAGAACAATGAGGAAGAGGCTCGCTCGCCACGCCCGGCGCCCGGAGTCGCCTGGAGTCTTCCTGGCCCGGCGCCCCGCCCTCTCCCTCCCCTCCCCCTGATGTCGCAAGGAACCACGCAAGCCGGGGGAGAGGCGAGAAGCCTGTGATTTCTGCGAACCGCAAAGGATGAAAGGCAGCCCTGGCTCATGGGATCGCAAGGAAGCCCCCCCCCCCCCAACACACACACTTTGCACTCTGGAAAGCCACGTTCCCCGGCGAAGGAGGACCAAGCCCCCATTTCACTCGGCAGTTTAAGCCCGTTGAAACCAACGGGTTTAGACTGGTCTAAATCGGCATAGGATTGCACTGTTGATCTCTCGCATCCAGTATTTTTTTTTTCCGGGGGGGGGGGGGGCTACGCCGACCCAGTGATGACAGAAGTAACACTGATTACAACTTTTTAGGTTCACAACCTCACGTTCTTTAAGCACTAATCCCAGACCGGCATGTTCCTGTTACAGCAAAAATTAAGTAGGAGTCGTCGTTGCACTGGGTTTTGTGCCAGCAGTTGAGTTTCTCCCCTCAGCACCACAGTTCTTTCTACATAAGATATGTCCTTCAAGGAGCAGCCGTTGTATTTCTATATAGACCACACGACCCCTTCTTTCAAACACTGAGAGCGCGAGTCCTTATTCGGAGCTCAGACCGCGCCTTGCTAGATGCCCCGCATTCTAACCAGAGGCTCCGGAGATGGGGCCAGTTTCTAACTTTGGCAAACTCGTCTAATCACTACTAAACCGCGGGAGCTCTCTCTCTTTTTTTTTTTGCATGACCCGACAGTTAGGGAACGTACGACTTAATGATGAAACGGGTATTTCTGAGCACGTGGAGAGTGCTTTCCTTTTCAGAGAGCAACCACCGCAACTAACTTTCCTCCCACAAACTTCAGGGATTAGGGTTGAAGGGCTTCCAAAGACCTGTACATTCCGGGTAGGCTGGGGCAGTCCTCCACGCTCTCTTGTCAATTTAAACCAGGCAGCCTTCCCTGGCTGTGTAACTCTTAAGCCTTTGCACGCCTGTTTAGGAATTCGCCGGAGTTTGCAGGCAGCCGAGTCGAACTAAAGCGAAAGCCTCGTGATGGCTTTGTATTAAAAACAAACAAACATGTAAGCTTTCGAGCTGTACATACCTCTTTCATAGGGCTGCATTTTTTTTTTCATGGAAAGAGAAACGATGTTCAGATCGCACGTTTGCGTGGGGTATTGAAAACGTTTGGGAATAAATCCCATTTGAAGTCTGCGTGACTTACGTCTGAGTAAACGGACAGAAAGTCTTGTAACTATGTTTGATTTCCTTTGCACACAATTACGCAGAAATATTTGCATAGAGGCGTTCTTTTGTGTTCTCGAAGTCAACTGACTTACTCGAAGAATTACATGGACTTCAACAGTACTCCTCTGGAGTAAACGCCGTTAGGCTCTCAGTCTGCCTCAGAGCCGGCAAGTCTTCCTCCGGTTCCCTCTCTAACTCCCCCCCCCTTTCCCTAACCACTTCAAAGCCAATGCCATGCAGTGAAACAGTTACTGCTGGGGTCAAAGCCGTCCCTGCTTATCAGATGGTATTTCTTAATTGCAAAACAGCGCCGTGCTAGGACGGACAGTTTGGCAAGATGCGCATTGGTTGCATTCACCGGCAACCACCTCGCCGCTCAAAGCAGCTTCAAAGGTATCCTTTTGCCAAAGAGAGGCGTCTAGGGGCGGAGAGAGGGTTAAGCAACTACTGTCTCTTAAATTTCTGCTCATACCCCGGCTTGATAAAGAGGAGGAGAATGCGCTGGTTCCTGTGGCTTCAGGCCCTCAAGCGACGCAAGCATAAGAAAGCGAAGCATCATTTTTAAAGAAACATCAGGGTCTTACCAAAATGCCCTCCAGAATTAACAGCTCTTTCCTCCGTTCTTGCGGCCTCAGCAAGTCCTTGTTCGGGTCAGATGATCTACAAAGGTCAGTTTGCGGTTGGCCTCTTGCGGCCTCAGCAAGTCCTTGTTCGGGCCAGATCTACAAAGGTCAGTTTGCGGTTGGCCCTCGGCAGGAAAGCTGGGCACGTGAGAGAGAGCGCTGGAAAAGGAGCGTTGGGGACTAAACCCAGCCTCAGTCGCCTGAGATGAAGGTTGATAAGCAATTGCCTTTCCTTCAATGAACTGCAGGGAGTGACTCAGGGGACAGAGGTTTCCTGTCCGGGCTTTCTTAGTTCAATAAACAAGAGTTGCTTCAAGGCGATCGGCCGGGCCTTGGAATGGACTGGCTGGAATATTTCCGAAAACGCCTTCTTAAAACATTGGGCCAAAAAGGCACGACACAAACACAGATCCAGTCTCCTCTGGTGAAAGGACGTGATGGAAATCTCCATGTGTGCAAAAGCAACCGTGGGGGTGAAGCTGACTGGGCTTCCAATTCATATTTTTATTTGCATAATAGTTCAAGAACACAATGTGCCAGAGTGATGTTATTTGCTTCTAAGCGTTGTGTAACAGGTGAGATTCGTTTAGGAATGGAGTTGGCCTGGACGCCGCCCAGTGGTGACCTGAAGAGCAGGTGGCACGCAAAGGAGGGCCACATATTCCCACGAACTTGGAGTTAGGAAGTGCAAAAAGGGTGCATTCCCATATTCACAGCGCTGTTCTATGCTGGGGAGGGGGGTGGCTGCATTCCAGCTTCATTGTCAGTGGCTGACCACATTCCAGACTCCATTGAAAATGCAACACAAATGTAACCCAACCTCTACTCCACACCCTCCTCCATCCTGAGGAATCAATGAGAGGCCAGCTTCTACTCATCCGGTTGCATACTTATTGATTTAGTTAAAATGACATTTTGAACATAGCTAGCAGCCCTTCCAAGTTGGGATATGGCTTTCCAGATTCCCTGAAAACCATGCTCACCTGTTTTTTTTAATGTAACCTGGATGGCATCGTAGATCCAGAGCCATTCTGTTAACATGAAAGGAAAAGGCCTGCAAGCATTCGCTTATTTTATCCTGAATTCTATGGGATTTAATTGCAAGCAAGTGTGCAGCCTATAACTTCTGCCCTTAGTGGTTTAGTTTTTAAAATCACTTTCAGTGGGCATGTGGCAATACACTTAGGGTCTTTTTTATGTCAAGGGCATGCTGGCCTCTGTTCATAAATCTCTGTTTTCCTTATTTCCCCTTCGTGTTGTGTGCACATGTGCAAGACAACATTTTACAATGATACTTGGCAAACTTGGGTTGACTCGAATGACTTGACTGTATTACAAAACAGAACAGAAAGCAGCGCTGGACTAACAGCAATGAGAAATGTAGGCAACTTCCTGCACGTCAAAGGACACTTCCCCCTCCGTCACCCCCACTCCACCCAATTTTTTTGCTAATTCAAGATTACAAAATTTGTGTTTTGGCTAATTCAAACCAAAAAACTACTGGGACTGGAGCGACTCTACCTCAGCCGAGCTGTGCACTTACTGAAAACACTATAGCTGTCATCATTAATTAAAAAAAAAAAGCTCCCCACAGAGGAATCATCCCTCAAATAATGAGGTGTCCAAACTTCCGAATACCTTTGTTCTTCCATTCCTGGACTTCCCATTTTTCCTAGAGGTTATCTGTCCCTGCAAGAACTGCAGGGCAGTTCCTTGGAGCCTCTCACAACCAAAGGATTGTAAACTTCAAATAGCAGCACATTCTCCTGCAGTGCACAGAGACAACACACAGTTCCCCCTAATGCGCACGCTCTGCTACAGTGTTCACTCCTCCTCTCCTTCCATAAACAGTTCAAACTGCTCAGCCCTCATACACCATCAGAGCCCTTTAGAGGCAGTTGAGTCTTCATTCATTCATCCATTCATTCAAACAGTTCTTTGGTAGTCCTGTGGCAGGGGTCATTTCCTGCAGGAGCGCACAGGAGCGGAGCTCCGGCAGTAAAGAGCCCAGGGGGTGGGCACATGCAACAAGCCCCGCCCCCTGCTCCCAGCAGCCCTCAGTCTGAGCAAGAAGCAGCCAGGTAAGTTGCAGAGCCCCCTGGCCCCCCAGTCCAAAACAGTCCAGTGGCACCTTTAAGACCCAAGTTTTGTTCAGATACAAGCTCTCCCTCCTCTGCGAGGACAGATCTGCACGTTCCCCCCCCCCAATAGCTAGCAATCCAAAATAGTCCAGTAGAGCCTGAGCGGTGGGTGTTGCCTTCTGATACACTTCGGGTGATGTCAGGGGGTGTGGCATATGCAAATAAGGTGTGCTAATGAGTTATGCTAATGAGCTCCTGCACCTCTTTTTCTACGAAATGACCCCTGCCCTGTGGTATCCTAAACTGCTACACAATACCTGAAAGCAGCTTTGTGGGTATTTTCCCTCCCCTTGGTAATAATTCCAGAGGAGCTATATTGGCCAACTGCAGCTAAATAAACAAATTAGTTGATGGAGTATTGTGTAATGTTAAAGATGAGCTCATTTTTGTTCTCACATAAAGTTTCATGGGCTAAGAGGTATCTGGAGCAATGCTCCCTCTAAGCTGTGGAGTCTTGTGAGCAAAAATTCTACTTTGTCAGCTGCTGGCATTAAAGTGAGCGAGCGATTTGGCTACTGCATGAATTAGTTTGCTCTGGAGCCATCCTTCCTGAGCTAAGACAAAAATGTGAGCCGGAGGCTAAAAACCCATGAGCTAGCTCACACTAACACAGCTTAGAGGGAACACTGGGGGTATCTGTGAAAAGAAAAAAGTTGCTAGTCTTTTAAGGAGCCATGTGATTTTGGTTGAACTTCTCTGTTCCCGTTCTGGTAATGCCTAATGAGAGTTTGCTGTTTCTTCCCTTGTGTGCCCCCCTGATTTCCCCTTGCCTCTTCCTAGGGAAATTAATGAAAGCCTAGAACAGTCTTTAAGGTATCTCATTGTTTTGTATTCATTG